TTAAGCAACAACAGCTGTATGATTTTCATGAAAACAATTTATTGTTTGTTCTTCTGTACATTGATGTCTCCTGTTTTTAAGATTTTTACTCACCGTAATGCCTAAACTTGTGACAGATTCAGAGTTTGGAGTGTGACATTCAAGAAAAGAGAGAGCAGATAAGGATCTTAGAACAGCGCATTGTTGAAATTGGTGAAACATCAGTCACCAGTGCATCTTTAGTTGAAATGCAGCAGGTGATGTCACACCATTCTTTTTTCAACCTCATAGGTTTTCTCTTTAATGGTGATTTGTGGTTGTCTCATAGTTCTGTCTTCTGCCAGACTTTGCTGAAGCTGATGACACAATGTAGTGAACAGGGCTTTGAGCTTGAGGTTGGTAACCAGATTAGTCCTTCCTTGATTTGCACCAATTCAATTATTTTAAAATCAAATCTAAAGAATTTTTCTTTCTATCACAGTGCGGAACATCTATTATATAAAGTTATTTAGAATTTGACGTTTGAATGCAGATAAAATCAGCTGACAATCGGATTCTCCAGGAAGAGCTGCAGAACAAGGTGAAAAAACACCATTATTTATTTTTGTTGTTAATCAAAATGGTAGTCACTTCAGTGTTGTCGGCCTGCCAATGGTGGTGGATGTCCAGGATTAATGGGGCTGTCATTTTTTATGTGTTTCAGTGTTTAGAGAACAAGGAACTGCAGGAAACTATTTGTAATCTTGAGCAGCAGCTAGCCGTACTGAAGGTGGAAAAGTCATACCCCTCATCAGAACAACAGGGTGTATCAGACGAGTATATTGATGACCTTAAGAAGAAAATTCAGTTGCAGGTGATTTATATACTTCAGCTCAGGATTAACTGATTTCGCGTTTGTCTATTGGACTGGTTCTCGTTTATATGGCATCTTTTGGCAGTGGTGATATATGAAGAACTGAGACCAAATTTTATTTTCTTTATTTTCATGAAGATGGTCTCCTGCAGGGGAGGGGTTTGCTGGAGCATATCACTGTTTAGTAAACTGAGCTAAGAGATGCTGAGCAGAGGACTCATATCCTTAGTGCCTCTATAGTCTAAAGATACATTGAGAATTCAAACTCTTAAGACCTATCGAAGTGTTTTATTACTTCCTCTATATAAAGCCGTGCAAATGCCTTGAAGGGCATCCTGATGATATGTTATTTATGAATGAATAGTCTAAGATTTTTTAACTTAGGAATTTAAATTATTGGAGATGCTTAGTCTTTTACCTTTTGTTCTGTTCTATATAAACATACTGAACTTGGTGCTGTAGTATGGAGCCTAGACACATGATCATTTTGATCTTTCAATTTCTCTTGGTTAATCTTTCTATGTTAGATTTGTATTTGACTAATGGCTTTACCTGCATGAAAGCAAGTATTACTAGGCATTTCTATCAGAGTTCTTCAATCTGCCATTAGTGTGACATATACAGCAATTAAAGGACTACATCTCTCTAACTCTGCTTATTTAGCTTTCTTGTGCCTACAGACACTTTTATGTGACTGCATTTTCCTTAAATGTGTCCTTATCATGGTTCTGATAAGTTTGTTGCTTGAGCAGGATATTGATAATGATAATGATAAGTTGAAGTTGGAACTTTTTCAGAGTGTAGAGGAGAACAGTGGATTGCGAGTACAGAACGAGAAATTGTCAGAAGAAGCCTCATATGCAAAAGAATTGGCATCTGCTGCTGCAGTAGAACTGAAAATTTTGGCTGGTGAAGTGACAAAGCTATCGATACAGAATACAAAACTCGAGAAAGAGTTGTTGGCTGCTCGCCAAATATTGAATTCTAGGAATTACATTGCTCAGACTGGTAGTGCTCGCTCCGGAAAGCATGGTGAAAGCCTATGGCAAGGACGTAGAGGTCGGGTTTCTGGACGAGAAATTGAAATTGCTGGAGTTGTTCGTGATGGGTTTGGCACATGGAATCTGGATCCTGAAGATTTAAAAATGGAGTTGCAGGCAAGAAAACAATGTGAGGCAGCTCTGGAGGCTGCTTTGGTTGAGAAGGAAATACTGGAAGATGAGTACAAGAAAAAGGTTGAAGAGGGAAAAAAAAGGGAGGCAGCTCTGGAAAATGATTTAGCAAATATGTGGGTGCTCGTTTCTCAGCTTAGGAAAGAGAATGGTGCCATGCAAGATTTAAAGACAGTAGCAGAAAAGCAGAATATTCGAGGAGACAATAGGAATGATCCAAAAATGAATGATAGTGAGTACTGTGACCCCATCCTCGATGATGGCCGGACCATGGATCATGCAACTGCAGTTGCAGAGATTCTCAAGGAAGACATTCTTGTTGCCCGCTTGAAGGTAATTCTGTTTATTCTTTATTGCCACTTAGCACTTGTATCTTGTCACATTTATGTAATGGGCACGTCCTTGTCATTTGTCTGAGTTGAAGCTCTGTATGCAAGCCTTCCTTTACCTTTCCCTCTCTATGTAGGATGGTCATTTTTGTCTTTTAGTTGTAAAACAAGTGTGAGATAGACTTCGGATCCAGGAAGATATGCAAGCTTTCTGGAAGATGAAGGTTGTTTGATTTTAGTAGAACACCGGAGGAGGGGGTGCGTAGAGTAAGTGTCCAACATCCGTAAGTCACAGGATTAATATACTTTTACTTATTCCATCCGTCCCACTTTATGTCTTGTATTTGACTGATGATGGCGTTTAAGAAGTCAATATGACTTATATATTCTTTTAATGGTAACAGGAGAAAATATTAAAGTAATGGTTGAACAGTTAGCTGGGCGGGGAAGATATCGCATCAAAGATTAAAATTTGGATACTGTAATGAATTTTTATTCCTGAAAGTTGTGTAGAAATGGAATTGTATCGAACATTTCGAGACATCTCAAAATATAAATAGTGTCATCATAAACTGAGAAAGAGGAAGTATTTACCTTTCAGTCATATGTCGTTCCATGGTGCTTCTCGCATAGTAGTGCATTTACTTTAGTGCTTTTGAAATGTTCCAACCAATCAAAAGTAACTAAGAGCAGTATAAGCTTTTCTATTTACTGCTCTGTGTCAATCTTTTGAGGTTGTTTCAGCCTTTCAGGCAAGTCCTACTGTTCGTGACTTGCATATTATATTATATTAGTAATGGGAGAAAATGCTGAACTCACAGTTGGTTTTAGTTATAAGAGAACATTTTTAACTTCTGACAGTCAAATAGATTTGAAATTCTTAGAAGAATTTGACTTTGTAGTGTAATATAGTAGCTAAATCGTCATTTTAAGATGAAAGCTAAAATGGAAAATATTAAATGGGTAAGGGGATACGTGTTTGTTCTTAGGTTTTTGCATAGGAGTTAAGTACTAATAACAACTGTAGTTTTTTTAGGTTCCTTCATGAATCAAAATATGGCATGGAATATTAAAGATCTTTTACCTGTGCGCCACCAGGCTAGAATGCAAGAGATGAAAGAAAAGGAGCACAGATATTTGGGAAATGTTGATGCAAATTCACATGTATGTAAAGTCTGTTTCGAATCACCAAGTTCTGCGATGCTCCTTCCTTGCCGACATTTTTGCTGTAAGTCAACTTTCTGATTATGTGCTCAGCTTATCCTCGCTCCCTTGGTAGGAGATGTCTAATGTCGACTTAATTTGCAGTGTGTAAATCTTGTTCCCTTGCCTGTGCCGAGTGTCCAATCTGTCGGACTAAAATTACAGATAGAATTTTTGCTTATACTTGAGATGGCATTTCAAGTGCTCGAAAGGTGGTGAAAGGTAAGGTGGTTGTTGAGTTGTCATTGCTAAGATATATAATATAAGTTAGTAATTAAAGGGTTTTCTGTGAGATAGTTACGCACTTCAACAATCCTGAGTCCTAATTTAATTTTACAATAACAATTTATGCACAAGTTCTGAATGCAACTTAAAATAAGGTGCTTACTTTCTCTCTTTGCAGGAGGGTTCTCTTCAATCTTGTGAAGCTCCTTTTCTCATGACATTCTTTACAAGGTTCAACTGTATGTAATGTCAAAGTGGTATTTTTTTTTTTTTTTGTGCACTTGTCCGCCAAGTAACTGTAAATTAAGAAAAATAGGTGCTACAAAAGGAAACAAAGACGAAAATTAGTAAATTTGAATTCAGTGAGTTGCTGCTAGCATAGTTTGATCTCCTTGAGCGCAAGGCATTGTACAGGACACAAGCTAGAGTCACAATTTTGAGATGTCTGTAAATCTGGTTCTCTTTGTGCCTAGCGTTTCTTATTTGGTGTATCAGTTGGTTAATTTTTTTGGTTTCTGCTTTTACAATAACTACGCCTGTCTTCAGCATGTATTAGATAAGCATAATCTGGCTCACCAGCTAGTCTGGTTCATATCCTCCCTTAGTGCCATGTGATATGTGGGATTACTTTAGATAGAAATTATCTTTGGAGATATTTAATCGGGATTGGTCTGAACTGATTGGACGAGTTTTTGTTAGGTTACAATATACTTAAATTGTATTGGATAAGTTTAGGAGTTTGGCTTGGGGACAAGTTATATCTTGATTTAAAGCATAAGTAATATGAATGTTATTTCAACCAATCGCTCGGCTATTAATGACGACTTAAATACCGAGGTTATTTTCCAACTGTAGCCAAACATCCCGTTGCCGTCATTAAATTCATTTCTCAAGTGAGTTTTCATTCTTTTACTCCAGCATGCATTGGCCAACCCTGTATTCCCTGTTATTAATTCACTCTAAATGGATTGGTAAGGTTTAAAACCATAGTAGTTAAAGAAAAATTTCTCAGAAGAGTTAAAGCCTTTTTAGTCATATGATGCTATTGCTTACATTAGATGATTGAACTGCCATTGATTTCATCGACAGTCCGTTTTTATCTTAGCAGTTGAGCCCTGAATATAAAAGGTCGTCCTGCAAGATTATGAGGACGCTGCTGCTGAGCTTATTTCAGAATCAAAAGGAAAGCCAATAAACTTTGCATCAATCTCCCTTAACTAATTGATTTGGCCATAAATATGAGAAATAAATAAGATCTCCATATTCAATAATCATAGCAGGTAACAGGCACAAGACCATCCCACTAGCATTACAAAAAGATTGGCTCCTCAAAAAGAAAAAAGATTACACCAGATCTGGTTTGAAAACCCATTCCAAGTCTGATTGACAGATTCTAACAAGTCCAAGTGATTTGACTTGCAAAAACAGTGGAGCTTGCGCTTATAACATGTCCAAAAACCAAGTGAAAGATCAAAATTAGCAACCAAAAGAAAGGTCTGATGGCTTGTATAGCTCTGTTTTTCTTATTTCTCCAAAGATTTATGCCCTTTAGTATTATCAAGTCACCCTTAGTTGCTTGGCAGAATGGAGGGTTGATCTGAGGAACAGGAATTCCATTTGTGTTCCTGCTTGCTTTCAACACATTGTATTCTAGAGGCTGAATTTGATGTTGAGGTACCTCCACTTCTTGTAGTGGAAATAAACTAAACAGCAGGCCGTTTCTGATCAAAACTCTGTAATCAAACAGCATCATTAGTTGCAGTTCTGAACATATATATAAGAAAACTTATTTAACTTCAATACACTAATACAACAGAAATTTTTGCAAATTATTAGGTCATATAAAAGATAATTAAAGGTAATTATTCAAAATAAATGAAATTAGTAACTTGAAAAATAAAACAAGTTACCTTATATAATAGGTTAAATCATACTGATGTGTCAAAATTTATTTATATTCTCTGTCAGTGGCGCATGCAACATTCTACGTAAGTTGTGTCTACATATTGTTGCAAGTTTGCAAGTAAGTGAGTTAGAGTGGGAGGCGGATCTAGCCTTTTGACACCAGGTTGAACTGAACCCATAACTTTTTATGCGGAGCATAAATTTAAGTGTAAAAATTCACTAAAAATATAATAAATAGTAGTAAATATGAACACATAAATTTAAATTAATGAAAACCTTAACGGCTGAACCAATATAATATAGTTTAAATCCTGATCCGCCTCTGGTTAGAGTCTAGGACTATGTTGGTCCTAAGGCTATTTTGTTTGTAATACTTTCAAGCTGTTTTGAAGTGAATTTAAACACATATATTAGAATTATTTTTGCAAAGGTGCCTTTGTTATTATTGTCAGCGGATATAAGTTAAACCGTAAAAGAACTGAATGTGTAATTGTCAAAAAATACTTACCATAGTGAGAAGAACAGGGATATTCAAGAAAATCTTCAACATGCCAACCAGGAAGAGTTTCAATCAAATACTCCGATATACTACTAGTTGAAACTGAACCCTCTTGAAAATTAGGCGTTGATTCTACAGTTGAATTACCCTTCAATATCCCAGAACTACTAGTACACGATATGTAATTTTCAGCATTACTTGCAGCAGATCCAGTAGGGGATGAAGATGATGAAGTTTGGTTGTAAGAAGCAACAGCAGAAGAGAGCTGCACTCCAGTTAAAAGAAACCTGTTGTGTTTCTTGGTATGTTCATTTGCTTTGTGTATATGCAAGTCACATTCTTTGCAAAGGATTGCTCTGTCTTCTTTACAAAAGAGTAATGCTCGTCTCTCCTGATCATCAAATTACCAATACATTAATGAGAAAAATAATTTTACTCAAAAAATAAAAAATTACTCTATGAGGTCACATAAAAGATAACTACAGATAATTATCTATAGAAAGTGGAACTTGTAAAAAAAAAAAAAAACAAATTACCTGTTATAACAGTTTAAAATATATTAAATTGAGAATTCTTTACACGTTAATATATAGAAGTTAAATTCTTTAGTAAAGACTTTAACTTATATACACTTAACGTGTAAATTTTCTTTTTTGACTATATTAGGTCATCATATTCATAAAAATGTGATTTATAACCTAGAAAATGGGAAAGTTACTAGTTAGTTTTGTGTAACAAAGGTTTGCAATGTCATTGCATATACTATCCCGTTTGGATGCGCTTATTTTGAGTGACTTTTAAATATAAGCCATAAGTTAGAAATTCTACCTTTAGGCTTATTTTTGTCATTTTAGCTTAAAATGAGTGTTTAAAAGCACTTTTTTACTTATCCAAATACTACAAAATGGCTTAAAAGCGATTTTGGCTTAAAAGCACTTAAAATAGGGATATTTTTAAAAATAGCCAGATTTACAACTGGTCGTTCAAAAAGAGCCCAATTTCAAAAGTAATCGAAATTTAGCCACTTTTTATGTAAAGATAAATCTGAGCGAAAGCACTGTTCAAAATCCGGAAACTACTCCAGTACATTATGTTGGAGTTCCAGCATAAGTATACTTGAACTCCAGCATAATATGATGGAGTTCCATCATAAATACACTAGAACTCCAGCATAATATACTGGAGTTCCAGCAAGTATAATGGTCCAGTATAATATACTGGAGTTTGGAGCACCAGTGCTTCAGTCTCCAGTATATTATACTGGAGCCAGCAAAGTATACCGGTCCAGCATAATATGCTGAAGTTCATACACAAGTGCACGTAACTCCAGTATATTATGCTGGACCGGTCTCTATTGCAGCAAAACGGTGGCTATTTTTCATTGACTTGTTAAACGCTGGCTATTTTTAATTGACCAGTCCAAAACTGGCTATACCGTGAAATTTTAGCCTTAAAATAAGCCAATTCAAACGGGCACTATAACTCGTAAGAAAAGAATTTAGCTTCTATGCGATGAAAGTGCAAGAAATTTTACGTTTGGTTGCAAAGCGGGAATATTCAGGAATTAATTAAGAATTCCAGGATTATAATCCCAAATTTAATATGAGATAGTTATACCACCATCTTAGTATAAAATTTGTTTCAGTATTAACTAATACTCATAACCAAACGTAAGATAAATACAATCTCAAATTTTATTTCGAAATTATAATTTTAATCCTGGTAACCAAACGACCCCTATTTTTTGTTAGTGGAGATTAGTACTCCCTCTAGTCGATTTTAATTGATTTTTGGCCTTTTTCTTTATGGTCCACAATATTTGATTTTTCAGAAACTTCTCTTTTCCAAAGTTTGCCCTTGGAGTAAAGAGTTAATACAGTCATTTTTATTATTAATTAATATTAAAATATGAATTTCTTAATAAATGTTAAAACAACCAAAAATCAATTTAAGTAGACCGGGAGGAGTGTATTATTTTATACCTGACAGATGTCACAACGAGGAGAGTCTTTGAAAGAAGGATGAATTAAAGAAAAACGAAGATGTTTGCTAGCAAGCTTGTTAGCATGGTGAACTTGATAATCACAACGTTGACAAAGAGTAGCTTCATCTGCTGAACAATAAATTGATGCCTCTTCTTTATCACAAATTTCACATTGAATCTTCATTTCTTTTTCTTTTTTTTCTCTCTCTGTTTTCTTTGTATGGTTTCCCTTAAACAGATATATGTATATATATAGTAAAAATATTAATGCAGTAAATATGGGAAAGAGACAAAAGTTTATGGGCAGAAAGGGGTTGGAGGGGGGGCTCACAGCTAATGTCTGAGGAGTTCAGAAACTCTTTAAATCTTTTACTGACTGATTAATAAGAGAAAGCTCTGGAAAAGAAGCCATGGCTTCTGTCCAAATAAATGTAAAGACAAAAGAAAGGAAACAAGTTTGGTGCTAAAGCCTATATTCTATTTACTTTAAACAACTTTCGCACTCAGCTCTCAAAATCTTATAAATATCCTAAGAGTTGGTTTGGTACGAGGGATAAGGAATAATTAATTTTGAGAATAAATTTAATAAGAGTTTGTCCATATATTTGATTGGGAAAAAATTATACTAGAATTAATCCCGGGATAATAGTATTTTTTATCCACGTGGAAAGACTGAATAATTAATTCCAGAATAATTAATCCCAAAATAATTAATTTTGAGATAACTTTTTTCCAACCAAACGACCCCTAAGAGATCATAGTTTAAATTTCAGAAGAAATAAAAATTACTGCTCTATTAGGTGATATTTTTATCGGTTTTTGGTGGAGTTCCTGTTGGTTTTTTTTTCTTCTAGAAGGTGTGAAGGGGAAATGGAAGAGGTACATTTTCGATTGCACCTCTTTATCTCACCATTTTATTGTTTATAAATTTAGACGCTTGACCTCATTTTATACACAGATTAATATGATAACTTCTCATCTCTTCTTTACATTGTTGCATTATTATTTTTTTCAAAACAAACATATAAGTATGAAATGTGATTTGCTCTGTTTGTTGAGTTCGTTGAAATTCTGTAATTTCAATCGCCAGTATTACATAATAGTTGTTCCGTTCTATACTGGGAGGAAGTAATCCATAACCTTGGGCAACAGCGAGAGGATTAAATTTCTTAAGGACATATAAGTACCTTGTGGGCTCGAAAATTATTTTATCTTTTATTTTATTGAACTAACATTTCTTTACTTCTTTGATTGTCTGGTTTCGAACATAGTTTTACTAGCAGTTACATGATACATATGCTCGGGAAAATATTACTCCCTCCGGATCAGAATAAGTGTTCAATTTGCTTTTTCATTTTGGTTCAAAATAAATGTCCGGTTATGTAATCAAGAAAGAATTCAATTTGTTTTTACAAAATATCCCATATGTACATATCCCTAAAAAATTTTCTTACTCCTCACATTAAATGTTTAATTAGGAATAGTTTAGTCATAATAGGCATTTTTGTATAGAATTTAGTATTTTCTTAATGGCCGTGCTAAAAGCAAATTGAACACTTATTGTGAACAGGAAGGAGTAACTACTAGGTGTATCATTAAGAAGTTGAAAACTGAAACATCACTTTATTTTATCTTAACTCAGTTTTTTGATACGTGAAAATGGGGGCATTGCTGCATGGAGTAGGAGAAAGTTGTTTTATCTCATTTATTGCTCCAGATCGGTACTCTCTTAAGCTTTGACATTATAAATTTACATTTAAAAGGTAGATCTAACAAAGGAATATGACTTGTTCCAAAATATTTCCAAATTGGGACACAGAATATGTGTAAATGCTAAAGTATGTCAGTTTATGGGCAAGCAAAGACGGTTGCTTTCACTTTACTTTTTCTTCTCTTTTCTTTTACTTACAAAAATTAAAAGGGGTGGGTGTCGTGTTGGTTGGCTTTGACAGCTATTCTTTTAAATTCATCTCTTACTAGGGTTAAATCTAATAATCAGAGGCGAAGTCAAGACGAATTCAATGGATTCTTATGACAAATGTACGGTTTGTACTAAAGCTATTGGTTTCGGTTGAATCCGTTACCCCGTTGTTCTAGCTTCGCCCATGCTAATAATGTCAACTGTTCTAAGTAGAAATAGATGAAGTAGCTACTTATTTGCTATTCACCCCTATATATAGATGATATAATCATATAACCATAAATGACATCGAAAATTGCTCAAGGATAAGAATTACTATTGCATTGTAGCTAGCCTGGCTCTCTTGTCAAATCATTGGTAGATCCTATATTTTTAAGCATTTTTTAACTCCACAACTGCTTGAAAAGTGACCATTTATGGAATTGGTAACGAGAAAATAATTTATTTACATTGGATGTCTATATTCATTTATTTATTTAGAATTTAAATTATAATTAATATAAAATAGTATGATATATATATATATATATATATATATATATATATATATATATATATATATATATANATATATATATATATATATATGTATATATATATAGTTGATGCAAGTAAATTTAAACATATCCTTGTTTATTTTAGAACTTCCCATCGCTGACCCTTTTTTGGTCTTTATTTTTACGTTGCTAACGTGTAAATTTCATTTTGCATAATTACATCAATATTTAAGTATTACTACGCATAAAAGAAGTGGTATTTCATGAGCATAAATAGGGTATTACAAGTTTGCTTCAATCTTTGATCAAGTACTCCCTCCGATCCATAATAGGTGACCAATTTGCTTTAGGCACACTCATTAAGGAAATACTAAATTCTAGACGAAAATAGATAGTGTGACTAAACTACCCTTCAATAAATATTGCACCATAGTTATAGTAGCACTTCTCTTCTCAAATGTGAGGAGTAAATGACTTTTTAGGGATACGTACGTAAGGGTAATTTTGGAAAAACAAATTGAATTTTTTTTATTATATAAATGGACACTTATTTTGGATCAAAATAAAAAAATAAATTAGTCACTTATTGTGGAACGGAGAGAGTAAAAGAGAAGGCTGGCGCGTTTTTTAAAGCTTTCTGGTCGTTGGAGCTAGGCACGTCTTTTTTTATTTCCAGATTCATAGCCTGTTTGGCCAAGCTTTTTTTTGGGCCAAAAGTGTTTTTTTTTGCCAAAAGCACTTTTGGCAAAAAATTGACGTGTTTGGCCAAGCTTTTGGAAGGAAAAAAAGTGCTTTTGAGGAGAGGCAGAAACAGTTTTTGAGAAGCAGAAAAAAATAGCTTCTTTCCAAAAGCACTTTTCTGAGAAGCACTTTTGAGAAAAATACACTTAGAAGCAGTTTTCAAAAACTTGGTCAAACACTAATTACTGCTCAAAAGTATTTTTCAAATTAATTAGCCAAATACAAACTACTTCTCACCAAAAGCACTTTTTTTAAAGAAAAGCACTTCTCAAAATAAGCTGATTTTAGAAGTTTGGCCAAACAGACTATTAAACTAAAAAATGTTAAAGAGAGATTAAATAATTGTATTGAATGGTGTGCCAATACGACTAAATCAAGCTTTTTGAAATTTTAATGACCGACATTAATTAGCCAATGAAAATTTGAGCACGAGATAGTTAACAGAGGCGAATTTAGGGGCACATTAGTGCACATGGTCAAATGCCGTAATTACAAATTATTAAGTTCACACTTCAAGCTTTCGAAAATGGCAACTGTTTACTTTTCGTGCAAAAATAGAAATAGAAATTGAGACTTGAGAGAGATTAGTAGTCAGTCCCACACTACTTTGTAGGTTAGGCAAGGCTGGTGAAGTCTTGCGTTGCCTCGTTTAGTATTTTCTTTATTTTTACTTTTAATTGAATTTCTCAAATACGATTCCTAAAAATGGCATCATCTTCCTTATAATGAATTCTTCATATAACTAATTTAAATTAATCGGATTAGTGGATTCCAAATATTGGAGGCGTAAAACAGAAAGTAAAATAGAAAAAGAAGAAGTAAACACAATCATTGTGTAATAGCTTAGTTCTGCTGGAGCTGTCGCCTAACTCGGATGAAGGTATAGTGCCTAATGTCCCTTTTAACTTAATGAAGAGAGACAAATACAACGATTATGGCAAAGAATTGAAAATGCCATTATCTAGGCTGTATCTTCAAATAAATAATTAAAAGAGACATACTTTTGGATTATTTATAAATAATTAAAAGAGACATGTCCTTTTTTATTTTTCTAGAAACTCATTCTCGCTCATTACTACTCTATCCGTTTTGTAATAATTAGTACTCCCTTCGTTCACTTTTACTTGACAATTATATTAAAAATAGATTTTCATTTTTACTTGTCACTTTACGCATATCAAGAGAAGACAATTTTTTTTTATACTCATAGTATTTATTACTCATTTCAAATTATTTTTTCAAATCCAATAAAATATGAATTAATTAATATGAGTATCATGATAAATTATGTACTTCATTATTATTCCCTCCCGTCCAAAATAAGTAATTTTTTGGTTTTTTTTTTTGGGTCTAAAATAAGTGATTTTTTCAAATTTCAAGAATGAATTAATCATTTTTTTCCTACATTGCCCTTGGAGTAAATAGTGTTGGAATATGTGTTAGGAGTGTTTATGTGAGATAGTAAAGGTTAACATGGTCAATTTTATTGTTAATTAATGCTAAAAGGTGAGTTTCTTAATCTGTGTGAAAACATCCAAAAAATCACTTATTTTGGACCGGAGGGGGTATTTCTTAACGAGCGTGAAAAGTCAGAACGTGCCAAGTAAAAGTGAACGGAGGGAGTATCTTCCACATGAATCAACAAGCTAATGTCTAACCCTCATATTTTTCATCTTCATATATTTTATATTAATTAGTGTGAATAATATGATTATGTATGTTGGTTTTCCTCCTCAGAATAGTCAAAGGAAGGTATCAGTTATAAGTTCATGAATATTCTCTGATTGGTTGACCACCTGTTCTTAACATTCTTAAACCTCACTTTATTTTTTTCACACTTAAAGGTATAATATAGCGCGCGGTTAATAAAATTATTGAAAATCATAAACCAATTAATAAGAAAAAAACATAGCTAAACAACTTTTTTTTAAATCTGTCTAAACCTTGATTGACCGGATAATTGAAATGTACGCAAGGTAGTCAAAATATCACAAATATAAGAGAAAGAAAATGCTACATGCTCTACTTTTTTCTACCTTGCCTGTTGCTCCAGAGTTTATAATTTCATTTTATTTTTTATTTTTCAATTGGCGTTCGGTATCTGCATTGTACCGAGTAGGACTCCATTCGGAAGGAAGCGCTCCATATCAAGGATTTTTTCATATTCAGGGCTCGAACCCGAGATCTCTGATTAAGGAAAGAACAATCTCATCCACTGCACTACATCATTTGGTAATTTTTTTTTATAATTCTCCTCACAGGCCAAAATTTCATATTGTTAGCCCCCATTACTGCTTT